CACTTGGTGTTTTTTTAAGAAAAGGGCGGCAGCTATTGAGTGAACAGGTGCATCTCCCCAACTATTATAAAAATGATAAATAAATTAGTCTAGCATATCTATACAGTCAAATAACTTGCGAAACTCATCATTCATAATTCTGATCAAATTTGAATTAACTCTAAATCCGTACAAATGATCACGAGATCCTTTATGCAGATCCGCTAATAAGTTGAAACTATCAAAAATATTTTACTGTAGTTAAAATAAAATACTAACTGTTCATAAAAGAAACGATCCTTTTTATCAAGATAATCGAAGAATTTTGTATATGCTTCACCCCTCCAAAAATTCAAATCACCGATTTCAAAGTTTGACCAAAAATGATATCTGAATTGATTATTAGAAAACGAACATGCGATCTAAAAATGAGGATTAATACGCAACGTAAATTTTTAGCAAACATACAAATTATATGTTTTGCCATTATCATCTGATTAAATTCCATTAGATTATCACTTTCAATGTATTGCGAATACTTTCGAATAAATTCTTTGACAGCATCCCAGAGAGTAGGTATAGTTTTTGGATATTCAGGTAATGAATTAGTGAAAGCTAAAATTACAAAGTTGGAGATCATTTGTCAGCATTACAACTGATATATCAAAGGGAAAATATTAACATAATTACTATATTTAACATCATGATCTCTAATGTAAACAAATGGATCAAGGTCGATATCACAAAAGAATTGAACACTAGGTTCGACACGCCAATAAAAATCATATTTATCCAACAAATTTGTGTCGATTAGTGATTTGAACTGAGAAAAAATTCCTTAGTCGGGTAACCGAACCGAAATATTTAATGTCAACTGATTGCAACTAATTAAGATTACCAGTACTTCACACTTTACCTTCGTAAGTTCTTGGACCTTTACCCAAAATTTTATGTTCATTCATTTTCTTTTCGGAAGTTCTCGGACCCTTTGCTTCCTGTCAACTGATTACTGATACTTAACTGGTTATACGAGTCAACTGATTAAAAATTTACTCAACTGGTTACCCGAAATTTATTAAATTCAGGTCAGTTAACCGATTATAGCCAAACTGGTTCAAATCACTAAATTATACATACTTCAGCATTTATAACACCTACTTTACTCTCTGCAATTATATACTTTTATACTAATTCTATCTCTACTTTACAAATTAAATCTAAGATATTTCAATATATTAGCAATAGTCAATTATTTATTGACTAGTTGTATGAAAACTAGAGATCTACAGCTTTTCTAATATAGTTTAGATCAAGAGTAAATTAGCTCTTACTCCTACCTCCCTTATTCTTTTAAATATATATGTACACATATATGTATTCTTTTATTTAATAATAATAAAAAGTTAAAGAATAGATCTTGTTGTATAAAATAAAAAAATAAAAGAAATAGATCTAAAAACTAATACTAAAACTATAATTAAAATAATAGAAACAAAAATAGTTTTAAAAATAGATTTAAATATAGATCTAAAGATAGATCTAAAAACAAATTATCTACTTCTTATTTTTTTTTTTACAATTATGCTAAAACTTTATTTAGATTTGTTTTTATTATATAGAAAACAAAGATCTGGTAATCTAGTGTAATAGATAGGTTGTTGGATCACTATATAATAAGTTTGAAATTTAAATTCTATTATTGATAATTTGAATAATTTTTCAAACCTTGTATTCAACTTATAGTAAACTCTATTCATTTCTGGAAGTTGTAACACTGTAAATCATATTATACTAATATTAATTAGATATTAGAAGTATAATATAATATTGTTACGCAAGTCAACTCTTTCCGATGATCACTCAAACCACACGCAGAGCAAACTTTTTATTTTAAAAACAGTAATAGGGCCAATATTT